TTAATACTTAATGGTGATAAACATAATCAGCTGAGACTCAGCCACATGAGACACCCCCCCCCCCCCGCATTGCATTTCTATTCATGTCATGCCCCCCCTCATCTCCCATTTTAGGAGTTATGAATCTGCAACGTACGTTAGAACAAAACCGGGTACCCAATGGGGCTTATTCTCATTGGTTACCAGTTGGCTCACAGCCTCGACTATCAGGGAAGATAAAGAAATGCAGTTCTTGTAAGTGAGGCATATTGTAACAGCAGAGGAACAAATTGGACATGGTTGGCTAAATTCAGGCCTCGTGTGCGAGTTCTCAGCTCCCACTGTCGTCTGTTGGGAGTTGGAAATTGGTCCAAAATATCAATGCTTCAGAATGTGCTCTAAGTAGGTTTATTGCATGAATGTTACAATACATAGGGCCTGGTTCACCTCCCATTTACACTGGTGTAATCCATTCACTTCAGCAGTTTTAATCCTGATTTACTCTGGGGCAGAATAAGACCCATAATGATAGGTGGAGCTGGTTAGTGCCATCTAATATTAAGGTTGCCAGATACTTCCCATTGTAAGACCCTGCCTTCAGCCATTTATAACTTTGCCACACTGGGATTGGCTGGACAAGGAGACTGGGACTGAGAACCGAGTGGGGCACGGGGAAGGAGGTGATGGGGAGTGGAGACTGAGCTGACAAAGAGTTGGTGTACAGGGCAAGAACTGGGACTGGCTGGGCAAGGAGACTGGGACAGGAAGCTGCGACAGGAGCCTGGTAGGGAGATTGTAACTGGGAAACAGTGGGGATGGGGAACATGGGCATTGGGGGGCATGAGTGGAGGCCTGGGATGGGGAAATAGATTGTATTAGGAGCTCGGAGGAGGGAACTAGCACTGTCTGGGCCAGGAAACTGGTGACAGTGGGCTGGGGAGCTCAGGTGGAGGGAACTGGGAATATCAGCAAATATCTGTGAAACCCACTGGCAGAGTGGCTCATACCCTGCTAATGCTGGTTTACATACAGGATGACAACCTACTACAGCTCATTAAGTGAGCACTTGTCCATCTTGTGCACTGATTGAGTCCCAGTCCTGTTTATGTATGTGATCATGTAATTATTAAAGACAGTATCATAAGGCATACGCACAAGGGGTGAATCAAAGTTGCTTGGACAACCTTCATTGTGGCATTTCCTAACTTTGATTGCTTGACTTTGCAGCCTTAATAATGGGGGGTTTTGAACACCGTTTTTGTGCACGTGTGATATTTGTTTGAATTGACTCCTACCTGGCTGTATTTCCCAACTACTTTGCGTCTTCCCATTGGGTTCTCCTGTCAGACCCCCTGCATAGAGTTGCTGTGCACTATTTCAAAGCTGCCACCTTCCCCCACAGAGAAGGGGCTCATCCTTCTTTCTTATGAGACATGAACCTGAGCTCCTGGCTGCTTGTGGTTATTAAAGAGGATTATTAGTGTGGCCATGTAGGTGGTTGACTGTACGACTGTATTACTTGTAAGACGTGCTGGGCACAGGCACACAGGAAGCCACAAGTGCTTGCACACACAGACTAGGTGCTGTGAATTTCTGGATGCTTAATTCTGAAAATCTAGCTCTCTGCCTCTCCTTGCTCATCTATTTTTAATGGGAAGGAAAAGTCTGCTCCTGTGCTGGCCATTAGTTTACCTCCTCCTTTAGGCTGTGGTTATCTACTGACCTGACATTTTCTGATCCATGAAGATCTGGAATAGGGTAGGTGGTAAATGATTAGTTTAGGTCTCCACACACTTATCTCTCTCAGACTCGGCTCATTTCCAAACTACCATCCTATTTTGGACTTAGATAATTACAGGCTAGATCCATGGAGCTAACTATGAAATAACCCTTTACACCTAATAATCAGCACAATAACTCAGATTTATGACACAATATGTCTGAGTCCCACCTTGTCACCTTAGCCTTATATTGTGTGTGTGTGTGTGTGTGGGGGGGGATTTGGGAGTGACCCAATTAATTGGTAATCCCCCCCTGTGGAACTCCCATTGAAGTCAATGGGAATTCTTCATACAAACTGATGGCAGGATCAGGCCCTCTGTTTTTCATCTGAGGCAATGCTGGCTGGATTGAGGCTCTTGCAGAGCAGAGAAGGTTTAAATCAAAGAGCTCTCAGAGCTTGCTAGAAAAGAAAGTGAAAATGAAGTGAAGGGAGAGGAAACGTCAAACTTCAAGCATCTGCTGGCGGAGTCAGGGCCTGATCTCTCTCTTGTGATCCATGCACCAAAGTGAAGTGGAGGTTCAGTTTGTGTAAAGGTGTGCAAGGCTGGTTGATGTGCTTCCCTAAACTACCACCAGTGCAGCATTTATACAGACTGAGTCTCACAGGTCCAGGACCATACAGCCTCATATTTCGTGTTTCTGCTCTGCCACAGGCTTCCTGTGTGATCTTTGGTAAATTCCTTAGGGTTTGACTAGATGAATTGACAGTTTGTGGTAAACTGGAGTGTAAATCCACCTTGCGCTAGTCTGCTGCATACTCACTGTCTGTGTGGACCCTGCTACCAGGCACTAAAAATTCCCTAGTGTGCATTGACCTCCATTGCTTTGGGACGGCAGTAGATCAAAGTGCACTAGGGAACTGTGGGCAGCAGAGTCCACACAGATATTTCATGCGCGGCAGGCTAGTGTGCGGTCGATTTATACTCCAGCATGCTGTGCACTTTGTCTAGAGAAGCCCTCACTCTCTCTGTGCTGCAACGTCCCACCTGTGAAACGGGGATAACAACACAACCTTTCTCCCACTCTTGGTCTGCCTTGTCTGTTTAGATTGTAAGTTCTTCAGGGCTGTCCCTGTCTCTTACCATGTGTATGTACAGTGCCTAGTACAATGGGGCTCTGAGCTTGGTGGAGGCTTCTAATTTTCTACTGTCATATAAATAATAGTTAAATAATAGTAATGATCTTTCCAGCACTTGTGTGAAACAGTCATCCCAAAATTGTGACAGTGAAAAATGCAACGCACCCCTCTTACCATCACATAGGTCCTATTAGTAGACATGCATTTTGCTGCCCAGTGAATTTCGGAACAGAAATTGTAGAGTTAACCAGACTCAGAGAGTTGCTGTGCGTGGCTGATTCTTTCCCTACATGGCACCGCCATTTGGTTTTTCCCAGGCCCTGACCTTTCTGTCAGGGCAGTGAGCAGCTGTTTGAATGAAAGTTGTGTTGTTCCGATCGTGCTTGGCCGCAGCTGAAAGTACGTCCTGAAGGGCCTGAGTCAGCGCTTTGTGACTGCGGCTGTTACCCGTGTATGTCACTGCAGAGCTGGGTCAAGACAGAACACATTCTGCCTTTGCTATTGCTTTTCCCTGGCCTTTGGCCACAGTCAAGTAAAGGCAGAGATGCAACCTAACTGGATCTGAAGTGGGAAAAGAGAAAGAGAGGCAGCCGAGTGGCTCAGGATGGCAGTCGATCAAAGGCTCTCATCTCTCACTGAGACGCACTCCGCTGTAAATCAGAACACAGCTCAGAGAAACACAGTTCTGGTGACAAGGGCCTGGTTCAGTGAGCTGACTGCTAACTCCACCGAGTGTTCATAGAAACGGGGGTGCGCAGTGGACAGGATTGTCTTCAACCTACCCAGTATGGTGTTGTTCTGATCTCTTCCCTCCCTCGCCATCTTCTCTGGCTGGAAGTACCATGTGTCCCCTACCCTCTGGCTAGGAGCACTGCCCCTCCATTGGCTAATGGTAACAACCTTCTAGTCTGGAGAAGTGTTCCTCCTTCTGCCTTCTAGTTAACAGTTTTCAGAGTAGCAGCCGTGTTAGTCTGTATTTGCAAAAAGAAAAGGAGTACTTGTGGCACCTTAGAGACTAACCAATTTATTTGCATCCGATGAAGTGAGCTGTAGCTCACGAAAGCTTATACTCAAATAAATTGGTTAGTCTCTAAGGTGCCACAAGTACTCCTTTTCTTTTTTCTAGTTAACAGTATCAGCCTTTCTCTGAGTAGATGCCCTTTCCTGTCTAGCAGCATCCACCTCCCCTTTGGCTTGAAATACTAGATGATAGTTAAACCCACTGGGTCAAGTTCTGCTCTCATTTATAATGGCCCAAATCTGGTGTAACTTCCCTGACTTTATGGAGGTACTTTCCATTTACACCATGGTAAACTGAAAGCAGAATTTGGCCCACTGTTTCCAGTAGCGAGCGAGTGAAAGGCTGCTTTTCCACAAGATACTGAGTCCAATTCTGATCCCACTTATGCTGGTATAAAACTGGGGTGAGCACTGAATCAGGCCCATTGTCTCTTCAGTTTGACACTAGGAAGTAACTTTTGGCAACCAGGAGCCTGATGCATGGAATTGTAATAGTGCATGAAAGATGGGCATTTCCACACATTGGACTGCGGCTCAGTGTACGCAAGGGGCTGAATTCACTGATTTAAAGCTGGAGTAAAGTTATTGACTCTCCTGTGGTTATTCCAGATTTACCACGATGTAGCTAAGATTTACCCAAGGGAATCAGCAATAAAAAAGAGCCCCAGGTACCTCAGTGTCAGCTGCAGCCAGAGTTTTGTTTTATTTATTCAATTTTCAAGGAGAAAAGAATCTGGGAGTCTGAAACATTGTCGTCGGAACATCCTGGCCAAGCTCCTGCTCTTACTGAACGAATGCAGCACAAGGGGAAAAAACGCAAGGACAGTTCTGCCAAAATTCTCATGGAACATCACAGAGCGCAAAGTCTCCCTTTGGGCCGGATTCAAAGCCCGGTGAAGTCAGTGAAAAGACTCCCATTGCCTTCAGTGGGCTTTGGATCAGGCCCTAATTCAGTTAATAAGACCAAGTGTAGACAGCATTTACAGTAAATCAGAGAAGCATGGGATTGATCTTAACTGCCACTCGTGATCCTGCCTCCCTCTCTGCTGGGGGTGAATCACTCTACAGTAGATCAGTTTTTTCATTCTCACTCTGCCAGCTGCAGTGGAAGTGGCCACCTATGCCCAGGACCACTGTGGTGCACAAGCAAAAACTGCATGTGCACCCACACTTGGAATTGCCTTGTTGCAAATCCCCTTTTTTTGTGCCTGGCTGCCCAGTGCACGGACATTTTTGTGGGCACATGGAGGGTGCAGCTGAGGCTGGTGGAAAATTTGGCTCTGATAATTTCTTCTACAAGAATTATTTTGCACTGATCCCTCCATTTGTAGATAGGAAGCAGACCAGGGGTTTTCCTAGATGCTGCATTTTAAATTACTACTACATCTTTCAAAAGACGACAAACGTGCAATTTGACTACAATAAATATGGCACAATCTCTCTGTCATTGTAAATAGGCATTGTGTGACCCCAAAAACCCTGAGAGGAGAGGTATTCTTGCTGTGAAGGCTCTGGATTAGGACACAGAATAGCTGCTTTTAATTCCCAGGTATGTCACAGTCTTCCTCGGTGACCTTGGGGTAGTTCACTTAACCCCTCTGTGCTTCACTTTTCCCTTTGAAAAATGGGGCTAATGCTACTGCTTTTGTCTTGTCTATTTTGACTATAAACTCCCCATTCCAGGGACTCTCTCTTCTTATCTGTACATTGCTTAACACAGCGGGGGCTTTCTCAGCAAGCAGTTCTCAGCTGTGGAATTGTTCTAGCCAAGCTGGGGGTGTTCCCCTTCAGGGCATACCACAAGGCCCTAGTCAGTCTTGAGGGAGCGGTGTGAATGAGATGAGTTCTTTTTTAAGTAGATATTTATCACTTTTTGGTGATACTGTTGTGTGACTGTCCAAATGCCCAGAGATGGTGGATGGCTGCATATTTTACAGATCAAATAGGTACTAGATCGAGTCAGTGATGAGCCCTTGCACCTTCTCTACATCTACCTTCCAGCCAGGTTCTGAGTAATTTGGATAAATAATGTTTTCGGGAAAACTAGAGTCTTTGATCTCTGCCACTTACCATACCAGAAATGGAAGGGGGAACAGGATTTAATGGCTGTTTGTTTTTCTTTTTTTCTAGACAATAACCTGGTAGTTAGGCCCGGGTTGTTTACATTGGGATCAGGCTGTACAGTGTCCTGTGAAAGGAAAATGACACATCTACCTCTGTTTGGATGAGAACTGTAAGAAAAACAGAGTTGGCCAAAGGCAGCCCTGATGTAACTGTGTTGATCTCAGTGGAGAGACACCAGGGATGAATTTGATTGGATGTACATTTCAGCACAGGTGCAGGCTTTCTCCAGGCCCCTGGGGTGCTCAACCCCCCCGCTCCGCCCACACCCACTCCCTACCCCCAAGCCCACCTCCCGCCCCACCATTTCCTACTCCAGCTCCGCCCCAGGCCCCGTCTCCACCCCACCCTTTCCTCCAAGCCCCCACCCAGCCCCACCTCTTCCCACCCCCACCCCACCTCTTCCCACCCAGTTCCGCCCCTCCTCTGAGCGCACCCCTCGCTCCTCCCCCCACCGCACCTCCTGCATGCAGCGAAACAGTTGATCGTGGTGGGTGGGAGACACTGGGAGGAAGGGGGAGGAGTTAATTGGCGGGATCGCCAGTGGATGGGAGGCGTTGGGTGGGAGGGAGGGAGCTGGCTGCTGGGGGGGTGCTAAGCACCCACTAATTTTTTTCTGTGGGTGCTCCAGCCCTGGAGTGCCCACGGAGCCGGTGCCTATGCCTTTCAGGCCTGAACCCCCATTAAGTGCCAAGCCCGAGATGACAACGAATAAGAGGAGAGCCATGAAACCTTGTTTTTCCCCGTTAGCAACGTTAGGTTATTGGGGCAAACATGCAGGAAAGGTAGAGTTTGACCACAAGCCTGCATAGGATCATCTCAGCTTTGACATCACCCACTTTCCACCTCCTTCCCCCTTCTGAGTGCATGTTTTTGTGGGATGAAAGTCCCCTGAATACATCCAAGGAAATCTGGAGGCTCTGAGTCTAGTGGAAAAACAATGTAACCCAACCTGCCATCATCAATCTCAGTGATGCCAAGAAGTCACCCTTTCCCCTTCCTCCCCTCCCAGTAAATGACATTGTTTCAGAACACACTGACAGTAAACCAAAAACCAATACCTGTTTCCCATGCTATTCCAGGGACCCATCAGCAACAAGAATGGAGCAGACAGGCAGAAAGACAGGGCAGTGTGACCCACACAAGTTTATATCACACGTCTCTAATATCAGGCGGTTGCAATGTCTCATCTTCTGCTCTTTCAGGATCTCAAGATCAACTTTACTTGAATCACTGAAGCACCTAAACATCATCAAGAGACATGGGCTTAACCTGGAAAATTCACTTCTGGATCCAGAACTGAGTACCCCCAATGCTCAAAGGTGTTTTGATCTTCGGTTTTGGTCTGATCCATCAGAGAGATAAGGTCCAGCAGTGAATTTTAGAGCTAGACCCAGCCTGAGTTCCAAAGTTCAGAGTTATTAGGCCTTGGATCAGTTAGTCCACACAATCTGCAATATTTATCTAACTGCCAACAACACTATCTGAAAAGTCAGCTTGTTGCTTATTCTTTGTGTCCCTCAGTTTGGTTCAATTAATTTTCTTTTTCTTTGCACATTAGTAGGTGCATCTATTATCCTTTTATATTGTGGTACCACTGGGCCCTGGGTCTTCGTGTTGGATGTAATCCCATTTTACTGCTCCTTCTATCTTCCCCCCACCTGTTTTTCTCCATTCATCCCTCTGTAAATAAATATTTCCTTTCGTATATTCATCCTACTATTCATTGTGTGTGTGTGTGTGTCTTTGATCCTGGGGGTCTGGCACAGGTACCCCGGGGTCAGAAGGGAGTTTCCCTGCTGCATTCCTGTGCGTACCTTTTCTTGGCCAGAAGCCCCACTCCATCTTAGCCACAAGGTCGCTACAGTTTCCCTTGAAAACAAAAGCTGGGTTGTTTTGTTAGTGAACCTCCCCCCTCCCCCCCACACATTTCATTTAAATCAGACATTTCCTGTGGAAACTGACCCCCACAAAAGCCATTTTTGGCTGAAAAAAGTTGTGAATGAAAAATCTCAACCCACCCTAATTGCCTCTCCTGTGCTATTGTGCAGTTTAAAAGCTGCTGCTGCAGTCAGCCTCAAAGATGGCTCATTTCAGAGGTGGGTGAAGAGATGTGCATATGCTCTGTGTGTGTGTAAACTCTGATTAACCAGTGTGAGGACCATTTTTGGGAGATTTGGATGTAAGGAACTATATATATATATATATATATATATATATCAGTCACTATCATTTATCTATCTAGTTTAGTTGACAGAGACTCGGCTCATCACAAATTTTCGCATCCCAAAGCTGCCTCCAGGTCCTTGCTGCGTAGAAGGGTGTTGCTACCATAGTAAACAGTGCACTACTGTAAGGGGAATATATAATGGCTCCCTTTGTCCTCTCTCATTCATGATATTGCTCTTCTTTCCATGCCGCTTGCTACACTTAAACCAGCTTGTCACTTCCCTATGCCCAGTGTTCACCCTCTCTTACTCCCATCCCCCCCCCCCCCCTCGAATCCCGCATGGTCTATGGAGGCTTTGTCTATGCCACTCTTTTCACTCACAAGGACCCTAGATTTTTCCCATGCTGTCACTGAAATCTCCTGGCATTGTATTTGCCTCAATAAAGACTGATCTTTGTGGCGGGGGCTTTTCTCTGTGTGTACCATGGAAAGCGATGTGTGTGTATTTATGATGCTAAACAATAATAATATGTTGCATTATCTATTCAGAGACACAATTGCTGCATCCTCCCTCATGGCGGCGCCGCCGATACAACCTGTGAACAGACCTGGTGATGGGGGATAATTAGCCTTATTACATTCTGTAGTTATTTATCCTGGGATTTTCGAGGCATCTAAGGGAGTGAGGTAACCAACCCAGCTCACATTGAATTCCAGTGGGAGATGAGTATATAGCTCCCAGACAGTCTTTGAAAATCCCAATTTCAGTGGAGATGAGCCTGAATCCAAGCCCTAGATCTGAACACCCTGCACAGACCAAGGGCAGCATTTTTAAAAGCACCCAAATGACCTAGGAGCTTACGTTTAATTTCAAAAGTAACTTAGGCACTTAGGAGCCCAAGTCCTATTTTGTCATTTAGGTGCTTTTGGAAATTGTACCCCAGATTTTGAAGGCTGATCCTATTTTTAGGTTTGAAAATAAAAGGGGAAGCACTCCCCTCTTCCTTGTCCCTATCAGACTGCCTTTATTGAGCTCCATTTTGGTGTCATAGTAGGTGAGTCAGCCTTGCTAGATCTATCAATACAAGTTCATGACCTGTTACTATATTATGGGATTGCAGGGGATCTGCCTAGAAAACTCATAATAGAAACCAACCTAGTTTTGTGACTGGCATAACAAGAACAGACATTAAAACGCAGTGATAACATGTTTGGAGGATCAAAGTCTTATTTTTTTACTGTCAGATTTGACAGCACCATGTCACTGTTGGTATTTCAGAGTTTCCATTTACTTGGTCTCATTGCTAGAATAAAATCTTTTAATTTTGGTAGCAAGTGCTACTAATATATAAGGGGGATCTGGAAAATTACACACACACACACACAAAGATGCTACAGATTTAGTAGAGATAGGCCCCTAATGGGGAAGCTCAGCCCTGGAAATGGTTCTAACTGCAAACGGTCTCAAACTTTTAGGGTCTTTGGAGTCTGTTCTGGTTTGGCCAATTAACAGAGAATTGGTAAGTTTGGATCATCATGAAACTTTACAAAATGTCTTTCTGTCTTGCCACGCTCTATTGTGAACCCCAGAATTTTCTCCCAGAGGTAGTGGGCTAATGAAAGGCTGTTCTTATCTCTGTCTTCTCTCTCCCTCTTCCCAACATTCAAAATGCAGGAACAAGATTTCTGGCATTGTCCTATGGAAACATTTTTACAGCATATCTTCCCACAAGGGACATTGTTTCTACAGCACAGTGCTTTCAACTCAGGTTTATTCCTGAGCCACTATACCTGATTCTCTTCTCACAGACGCTAATGTAGTGCTGTTGACTTCAGTGGACAGGCTCCTGATTTAATCCAGTGCAAGCTGGAGGAGAATCAGTGTTTGTGTATATGGGTGATCACTAATGTGAGCAGTAAGAGCAGGAGCAGGCCCTCTCATTGACTTCAGCAGAAGCAGGTTTGAGCCATCACTGCCTATGATGCATTTCAGCATTCACAGTTTAGCTGCAGCATATAAGAATCAAGAATGTTTTCTGCTTAAAACCAGACATATACCTTCCATTTCCCCAGGCAAAAAAACCAGCCCTTTCCCATTCATCTCCAGGAGCAGATGAGGAGGTTACTAGGGCTTGAGAGAAGTTTCCTTGTTAGAGGCTTGAGAAATGTATGACCTATTTCTGTGCTTTTCTGGCTCCTCTCCTTAGCTCTTAGACTGGCTATGACAATTACCTCACCGGTAACAGGGGCTGCAGGGAAATTCAAGCAGAAGAAATGCCCAGTAGTGAGCAGAGGCTTGTGAGTGAAAGATCCTTGATAGCAACAATCACTTGCAAATGTTTCTTTCTTATATTGTTAATTCTGATGTTATTAGTGGCTTTTCTATGTGGTTATCTGTTCAGCAAGGATCTGGACTGAGAACAGCTAACTTGTTTCACCCAAGCCACTGAAGAAGATAACAGCTTTCCATGCCTAACCACCTATATTGTGTGGTAGCTGGAGCTTTGAAATTGGGAGATCTTTGTTTCCTGTCCTGCATTTAAAACATTCTGTTTGCAGAGACAATAGCCACTTTCTTGTTTTATACCCCATCCTTGTCACCAGAATTCTTGTTATGTTTCTCCTTAGGAAGGGCAGCCATATGCTTTCCCTCCAGATAGCTCTCTTTTAGATTAAGAAAAACAACAGCACTAAAAAAACATCTTCATGTGAGAGAGCATAGTGTCTGGGTTTTCTTTGGAAGTGGCTGCCACAAGTTGGAGGACAAAATGGCTGCTTTCTCTGTGCACAGACAGAGTGCTTAGAGTTTAAAGGTGGAGTACATCAAAAACAAAGGCATCACATTCCATAGCTACTATGTCCTTGTTTTCCATATGTGGTAATGGAGACTGTGCCTTTAAGGAAATTGAACATCACACTTCTGGGAATGTTCTAGAAATGGCAGTCATTGGACATCATGTCAAATGGCAGACTCAGGTACTTGCATACCTAGCAGAGTCTGGTATTTTTCCAGGGATCTTTGAATGGCATGGCAAGTGGTGTTTCCCACACCTGAAACTTCTCTCTTTGTGTTATTTACCTAATAAGCCACAGGTGATTTAGACAAGGAAGCTCCATTGTCTCTGATCCTTTTTGAAAATATCTAATCCTGGCTTCTCATCATGACCTGGTTCAGTGTTAAAAATGAAAATGGTTTTCTCAAGCCTGCTGAATGCCATCCTGTAAAGACTGCTGCGCAACTGGCTGAAGAGCTTGTGCCCCTTTCCAATTTATAAATCACACTGGTTTATAAATCTTTCAGATTTGTATATAGTGCTATAACCCAGAAACACTAACAGCAGATTAGATTAAACAGATGTAAGAACTGTGCTGGACGGGCCTTCCAGCCAGTAGGACTGCATAGGAGACCGATGAAATTGTGAGAGTCTGGGGCTGAACAATCTGGGCAGGGAGAGAATGCAGGAGACAGAAAGAGACCCTTATGATTAATGATGAAATCATACATGCAGGCAATAGTTGTGAGTTTAGCTGCATAAATAGCTAGGCGCTAAATGAAACGGGACGACTGATTAATCTGTGGACTATCCTAAAATGCAATATGCAATAGATATTTTTTCCTAATGGAGCTCCTTTTGAAACCCTGACCAAAGTTTGGGCAACAATTCATACCCATGTGGGGGGAATCCAAGTTCAGGATCTTAATTTGGTATCAGATTTCTGCATCCAGATTTAAGATCCCAAGTTCTGCACCCAAATTTTGGATCCTATTATATCCACATTTTGGATCCAAGTGTGGTATCTGAGTTCTGGGGCTAAATCTGAGAGTCAAGATTTGAATCTAAATTGAGCAGGACCCCAGTTCTGCTAACACACTAGAGTAACTTTTTGCTCTCACATGAAGTTACTCAGTGTGAAGTTACTCAGGCCCAGATCCACAAAGGTGTCTGGGCTCCTTACTGCCATTCATTTTAATTGAAGTTAGAAGCCCAAATACCTTTGTGAATCTGGGCCTCAGTGTCCACAGGCTTGTGGCCTAAATTTAGGTATCTAAGTTTGAGATCCAGACTTAAGATCTGAATTATGGATCTGAATTTGGGCTTCAAGTTCAATCTTTTGCTCCTCACCGTGACAAACCTGCCAGTGCTGCACAGAGGGAAACACTCAGTCCTGATGATGGAGCCACGTATTGCTCTCCAGTGGATACATGGAATAGCATTGAGGGGCAGCACCCAGCTTGTGGGATTGTCCTGGCCTCACACATCCACTGAGGAGTCTGGGAGCAGTGGTGCAGGGGAATGGAAAGGGTGGGAAAGAAAGACAATGTTCCTCTGTGCTTATATTTCCTCCCCCATATTAATTACTGATATTGAAAAGCAGGATGCGCCCACTTGCAGCTCATGATTCTCTCTTTTCCCACACAAATACTTACCTGGGAGGAATGCAAAAACAAACCCTGCTACTAAAAATACTGCAGCCAATGGGAGTTAAGGGGAGAGATTTTCCAAAGCACAGATTGTTCCGGAAATTTGTAATCC